TTAGGTGCTTTCATTTTTATGGAGAGGACTAACTGAATATCATTAAGATTATTTTATTCTATATGTGTATGCATTTGGAGCTCTTAACTTGGAACCAGCATTATTTTTAGAGAGCCACTTTTATGACCCTAATTATATTCAGAGTCAAAGCAGAAAAATATGTAAAATGCTAAAAAGTGTGTTAAGTTTATGACATATTATGTGCATACACACATATATATATATATATATATATATATATATTTGATTACATATGTGTATATATACATGTGTGCAAATGAGCATCAGTTTTTGCTTACATATATATCATACCATATGCTGCTAAGCAAAGATATTTTTTTTCTTTTTTTGGACAGGCAATGCCATGATGTCAAGTGAGGAATGATCTTGTACTGACTGAAAGCCTGGCATGTATGATGAAATCTAGTCTCTAGAAATAGACTAATCAGCCATTTAAGGTTTAGATAAATCAATAGAAAAAATAGCACAAACTCATCGGCTTTTTTTCCCATGCTCACCAGCTGCTCTCATGCCTATACTTTGTAAAATATGGATCTCTTCCTTCTAGCAAATGACACCAAGCCATTTGGCAGTCATCAATTTGTCTTTAATATTTTTGTCATCTGGAAATTATTGTGAAAAATTTGAGTGAGGACTGATTTAATTAAGCATTTCCTGCTATGCCATGATAGAGGAGTCTTGGTTTTTCACATGCATAATATTTCCTGTACTAATTGGCCTTTTGTATTCCATGGTAAAAACAGTCGACTTGGGCTTTTCCTTGATGTGGCTGATTGGATTGATTAGGGAGCAGTGGATATGAAATGAGGTCCTGTTAATGTCATTCTTTCCCTATAAAATTGCAATCAGGACCAGGATTAGCTCTGAATTTGTGTACCTGTTTCCTTTCAGTCTGCAAGTACACAGTTCATGAGCGCTGCGTGGCTAGAGCACCTCCCTCTTGTATCAAGACCTATGTGAAGTCCAAAAAGAACACTGATGTAAGTTTGTGGTCATGCTTGCTTTTTGTGGGTGGCAATTATGGATTCTCCTCTTACCACAATACTGTTTTTCTGTTCTAGGTCATGCACCATTACTGGGTTGAAGGCAACTGCCCAACTAAATGTGATAAGTGCCACAAAACAGTTAAATGTTACCAGGGACTGACAGGACTGCATTGTGTTTGGTGTCAGATCACAGTGAGTAACATTAGCAGACAAATCCCGTGGTCACTCATATTGAAAACTCTGTATCTCATACTGTCAGATGTCTGGAAGACCTTCTAGAGTATTTAAGTCAATCAGCATAAAATCATGGAAGCTTCTTAGTTCATCTCACTTCCAAAGGGAGAGAAGGCCTACACTTTGTAAAATATGAATCTCTTTCTTCTTGCAAATGACACCAAGCCATTTGGCAGTCATCAATTTGTCTTTAATATTTTTGTCATCTGGAAATTATTGTGAAAAATTTGAGTGAGGACTGATTTAATTAAGCATTTCCTGCTTTCGCCCTCATAGAATCCAGAACTTTAGAACTGAGTAACAGCCTTAGAGGTGATACTATCTTATGGTTTTCAGACTGTGTCCATAGAACTCTAGAGGTTCCCAAAAAGGCAATCAGAGGACATGGCAATGGTAAGAAATGAGAATAGGAAAAGGATTGGGTAGAACTCAATTCTTAATTTCACCTCACAACATTTTTTTAAAGGTTTTGTTGTTGTTGTTGTTGTTTTTGGTATGTGTGTGACATATATTGTAACTTTATTTTAATCATAGGAACTGTGGGCTCAAAAAAGCCTCTAATTGGTACTCAAAGAATCTTAAAATTCTTTCTGTCCTTGTTTACATTCCAACATGTTTTTCTCCTTTACTTTCTTTGTTTTAATGGTTTCTCTTATCACTGACTCTGGAATCTAACTCTAGCACTACAACCTACTGATGACCAAGCACTTGACCAAGACCAGTTGAGCTTTGGTCTTGACCCTGGCTTTTGCCTTATAGGATATGAAGCACTTCCTTTTTTATAAGAAAGGGTATTACTCTGAACAAACTGTACCTTTAAAAATGTAGAAATTTCATGTCCCAAATCAGCTCAGACAAAATGTCCCTAATATTTGATTCTTATACTGGAGATCAACAAATTTTTTGAAGATGATTTTATTTTTTAAAGCAGAATACAACATGAACTGTAAATGTCTTTAAATCCTTGAGGTCTAAATCAATTAATCAATCTCTGAGTTTTATTCAGGAAATAAGGCTATAAAAGGGAGTATTAAAGAGTTAAGTCAGAGTCAAGAAAAAGAAAAAGAAAAAACAGTTCTCCTTTTGCAAAACTCTCCTAGGCGCTGAGCTTCTGGCTAACCTCAGTCTTATTTGTTGAGTCTTGAGCTCTAAAGACCCTGTGGTCCCAGTTGTTTTGCTCATGAAAGAAGCTTGCAAAATTAAAATAATATGTTATTGTATGTCTGGAAGAATATATAGCCTTTTTTAAAAGTAACTTCAGGCTTTCTGTACCTCAAGAGTTGTTATTTTATTTATTTATTTATTTTTGGGGGGTGGTGCTAGGATTGAACCCAGGGCTTTGTGTGCAAGGCAAGCACTCTACCAACTGAGCTAGATTCTTAACTTATTTCAAGAGTTTTAAGTTGTTATAGGGATACATTTATTAAATTAATAATTATGTGCCTCCCTGATAACAGAATATATTTACTTCTGAATATTTATGTAATTACTATTTAGACTTTTTTTTCATAAGCCACAATATAAAAATTTTAGGATAAAACTGATCTCCCTTGACCAACCATTACCTACTACTACAGATTTGATTCTAAAATCATATACTTTATTTTGTCCTCCCACTTTCCAGAAAGTGCTTTTAATATACAAAGAGCTACTGTACATTATTCTGAGAGTGATGGGATAGGGCACTGTCAGTGTTTTAGGAAGGCCTATTAGAATGGATTCCATAAGTAATCTACTGCAGAAAGAAACCAAGAGAATAAAACTTGGCTTCATTTTTTTTTTCCCCAAAAGCCAGTATATATGACTTCTGGAAATGACTTGGTATCATAAGTCAGGCCAAACAGATCCTTAAGATCACATCTGTTAGTTACAAGCTGTGCCATTTTGGGTCATGTATATAACAAGTTTTGGCCAATTTTCTAATTTGTAAAATGTACTTAATGATGTCTATATCATAGTACATGTTATCGTAAGAATTAAAGTTGTCACTAAAAGTGTGGAAATGTTTAAAAAAGAACCTTCTTCAGCAAGTAACACCTTGGTGAGAGGAAAAGTGCCACATGGGTTCCCCAAATCAATGCTGGGGTCCCCAGAGTGCCTCAAGAAGAGAGATCATGCCCTTTCTTTCTTACTTCTGGAACGATCTCTAATGATCTGGTCTAAGTCACAAAAGCACCTGCATATACTAAAAGCATCCAAAATCAAGTGGACTTGAATTTCACTTAATTTGAAGCCAACTTGATTGATCTATATTCACAATGAGTTGCTATTACAGCTTTCTATCAGACAGATTAGGTGATTTTGTCCTCACACTGCTAGTCTGAAGATAGAGTTTCAAGTCAATTTATTTTACTCCTTTCTCCTTTATCCATTTGTACAACCTACCACGAAGTCCTGACATTTCCTCCTTAAAATATCTCTTCCAGAGCTGAGTTTTTGTCTCTACATTCACAACCCTAGTGCAAGCTCTTAGCACCTCTTGACTAGATTAGAGTCAGAATCTTCTGGCTTACCTCCCTGACAGAAGGTACTTTTCCTATAATGCAGCCTGCATACGACCTCCTGAAAGATTCTTCCCAAAATACCAATTTGTTATCATATGCCTTCTTTAGCAACCTATAATAATCCTGTGATGATAAATGCAGCCCTCAACACCCCCTACCTCAAGTTGGTTTTCACTTCCTCAAAACTTAGACTGAGACCTAAGCACATATCCGTATATTTCCCTTCCCCATTCTCTCCCTCTGCTGTAGCTGTGTATGTCTGGTTGGCAGTCCCCTGGGAAGACTGTTTTCCCTGTGCCTGTTATTTCACGCATCCAATTCCCTTGAATGCACCTGTTTTATATTCTTACTACATCTCAGGAACCAAGTTAACTTCCATATCTTCCTTGGAATTTTCTTTGATACTAATATTTCCTTTTTCTGAATACTTTTTACTCTACCCTCCCCACCCCCAAAAAAAGACTGAATTGTTCTCAGTAGTATCATGTCTGCTTACTAATACTGTCTACACTTCTAGACTACACTCTTGTTTCAGGGACAGGTCAGTGTCACATATTGTTTCCTAATTACATAAAATTCATGATGGAGCATTGAGTTTAGAAGAAGACCTTGTTAGGTTCACTTGAATAACTCATACAGTTTATACAGTTTTCTTCTTGTTGATAAATACTGAATTCCAAATGCATGCCCTATTTTAACTTTTGTTTTCAAATATCATCCTGTGACAGTCAAATCTGCATCAAATAGGCAAGTATTAAAAATACATTTGAAATGCATTAAAATATTTAAAGAAAAACATCCATTTTCACACTGTTTTTCAGTCAGTATTTGTGGTGTCTTGATTGTGCATTATACTGGTTTGCCAACTTGTAGATATCTAGGAAAGCTCTTAGAATGATACTTTATATCCTTTTGAAAATCTAACCACTTAGAAAACAAAAGGCAAGAAAAAACTAAATAACAACAGTGGAAAACTCTTCCACCGTGTAGGCAACTTGTCTTCCATGCTTTCTTTTTTGATCCTTTGGGCCAGGCAAAATATTCACTGTGGTTATCGCCTTCTCTCTCTCACTCACATCCTGCCATCATTAAGAACCCACTGCTAATACCTGTTCACTCCCATGAAGAGGGTTTCTTTGACATTCTATTTATAATATGTTGTGAATTGTTTACCATCCAGATAAACAATTCCTGGTCAGTCAGGACTCATCAGGATGGGGTTTTAATACATTTTGTTTGGTTTAACAAAAGAATGTCTATCTTATTAAAGTATGGAATACTAACTTGTGGTATTATATAATGATATTCTTTTAATTACAATATGAAACTCCTAACTATAATATTTAAAAGTTTCCAAAACCATATGCTTTATCTTTAGCAAATACCAGTATTAAGCATGTACCCTGAACATGCAAGATATTAGGGCTAATGGATTGTAGCAACTAATAAATATGTTCCCTCAAATTAGACCACCGAGTCTTTCTTTTAGAAGAGTAATTTTTTCTCTTCTTTTTGTGACAGCTACTTTTTTGTGACCATTTATATTCTATTTTTTTCTCAATTTGACTTCTTCAATTCTACCAACCTTCTTCTCTGGCCAATACATTCACTGTTTTCTCAACTCTACCCTATAAACACATATACACATATACACACTTCATTTTTCTTCTAATTTTGAGACATATTTTTTTTAATACACATAGATCTGGCTCTGAATTAGGTGCTAGTAGGAGCTGTCATAAACCCTGAAATTATTTCTAAGGGTTTATTTTACTTCCAGGAATATATGACTCATATTTTATGACTTTCTAGATATGGGGCTAAATTTCCTAAAAAAAATAAATAAAGGGGGGGGGATTTCTTATATATAAAAATAATGATCTAAGAATTCTGTATCTTACCTAAAAAAGAGCACAAAAATAACCATGAATAATGTTTTTTAAAAAATTTTAAAACAGGACATAATTCCTTGTCTTTGGTGCCTCACTGATTATTTTATTCAAGAGGCAGTATTCATCAATGCTTTGTTTATTTCATTCTTGATGAGACTCTTTGTGTCCTGGATTTTACTGATTTGGGGTCTGGGCTACCTTTAAGGCAATTTATCAGTCTTTACTTTCTTATTAATACTGAGAAGGACTCAGTTATGTCTTTTTCTTATATTCTATTCATGAAATGACATACTAACAAGTTGTCTTAGCCTGTTTTATGTTGCTATAACACAACACCACAGATTGAATGATTTATTTTTTAAAAAGGCAATTATTTTTTATAGTTTGGAAGCTAAGATGTTCAAGGTCAAGGGGACACATCTGGTGAAGGCCTTGTTGTGTCATAACATGGCAGAAGGTATTATATGGCAGAGGAAGTGTTCAAGATTGGGTTTCTCTTCTACTTTTTATAAGGTCCATAATTTAATTATGGAGAACCTACCATCATGTCTTATCTAACCCTAGTAACCTCCCGAAGGCCTGACCTTCAAATACCATCAATGTAAGGATTTGGGGTTTAGTTTCCAACATGTGAACTTTTGAAGAATACATTAAAAACCATGGCCCAAATTTAAGCAACTTGTTATCTTTGACAATGTCCATTTTTTTCTTTTAAATTTTTTTTATTGAAAAATGACATATATACAGTAAATTGTTCTTATTCTAAGGGTAGAGATCAATGACTTCCCACAAATGAATACTCCACCTAAGAAGCACTTGACCAAAAAGAATATTACCAGTAACCTAAAAAAATATTTTGTTCTTTGAATTCAATTACAAATTTCTGTTTTGTTGATATTTGCTTTCTTTTAATAGGCTTTATTTTTAATTTTTTAAAAATATTTATGTTTTAGCTGTAGTTGGACACAATACCTTTATTTATTTATTTGTTTGTTTGTTTGTTTGTTTGTTTGTTTATTTATTTATTATGTGGTGCTGAGGATTGAACCCAGGGCCTCGCATGTGCTAGATGAGCGCTCTACCACTGAGCCACAATCCTAGCCCCAGACTTTATTTTTTAGAGCAGTTTTATGTTCTGAGCAAAATTCATGTTCACCTTTCAGTTGGATGAGTAATCCTAGGACGTATGCATTTTCTTACTGGCTTCCACATTTTATATTTTGTCATCAAGTATGTATCTGAGCAATATGGTACTTAAATTAGACCTGTATACAAACTTGTTCTAACCTAATGCTCTCAGCATCATGTTCTAATATCATGATGTTGAGGGCCATCCAAATATAGTCACCAGCTGACACATTCCACTCTATATAAAAGCATAAGGTACTCCTGAATATTCTTAGTTAATAGAGTCCTCTTGACTGCATCTATTGACAGGGCTTGCATGAGCCTCAAAGTACCTACCCTTTCGCCTCACCAGGATATCTTTACAGTGTGGATAAGAATAAAAAATTCAATACCTTCTCAAACTATACAAAGGGGATTTTCATTTTAGATTTTGCTATGTGTAGAAGTTTCTTAGAATCTGCATTCTCCATTTTATTTTACTTATTTTAGTACCAGGGATTGATTCCAGATGTGCTTAACCACTGAGCCACATCCCTAGCCTTCTTTATTTTTTTGAGACAGGGTTTCACAAAGTTGCTAAGTGGCTGAGGCTAGATTTCAACTTGCAATCCTTCTGCCTCAGCCTCTGGAGGCGCTGGGATTATAGGCCTGTGTCACCATGCCTGGCTGTATTTTTCATTTTAAAAGGATTGTGCAAGATCAAGGTGCTAAAGTTTTTTTTTTTTTTTTCTCTCTCTCTGTGACAACTATGTTACAGAAGAGCCTTAAGATACATAGTCTGCCTTTGGTTTTAGTTTACATTTTATAATGCTTGATGTACTAGTATCCTACAGTTCTTATAACAAATAGCAGGAAAACCTATGGAGTAGAGGGAAGGGTACAGCGGGGGAGAAGGAGAGGAGAGGAAGAAGTACTGGCAACTGAATTAGAACAAATTATATTACATACTTTCATAATTATGTCAAATTAAATACTAATATCATATATAAAAAGAACCAACAATAATAATTTTCTAAAAATCTGCAAACTTATTCACCTGCAGTTCTGGAAGCTAAAAGTACAAAATAAAAGAAAGTCTTAGGGAAGAATCCTTTGGCCCTTTCTAAATTCTGGTAATTGCCAGAAATTCTTGGCATTCCTTGGCATTTAACTGAATCACTCAAATTTCGACTTCTGTTATCACATGGCTATTTCCCCACTGTACCTGTATTTTTCTGTTCAGATTTCACTTTTCTTATAAGGATAACAGTCATTGGATTAGGGCCCAAACTAATATGGCTATATCTTAATTTATATACAGCTACACAGGCCCTGTATACAAAAATGTTCATATTCACATTTACTAGAGTTTAGGATTTTGACATATCTCTATTGAGGTACCCCATTCATCCCACAAATACATAGGTATTTGTGTGTGTTTGTGTTCTAGTAGTAATGCAGATCAAACCTTGGGGCACTCTGCCACAAAGCTATATCCTCAGCCCTCTTTATTTTTATTTTGAGACAGTGTCTCACTAAATTTCTGTGGCTCACATATTTAAGATTCTTTTACCTCTGCTTCTCAAGTCTCTGGAATAATAAATGTATACCACTGCACCCAGCTTTAATAATATATTTTAAACTATTCTTCTTTTTGAGGACATTATGGATTTTTATTTGTCCATTCAGAGTGCTAGTTTATTTAGTTCTTTTTTAAAAAAACTATTCTACCTCCCATATGAATTCTTTTTTTTTTTTTTTTTTTTTTTTTTGGTAATCAGGATTGAACCCAGGGGAACTGAACCACTGAGCCACATTCTGAGTCCTTTTTATTTTTTATTTTGAGATAGTTTCTCACAAAGTTGCTTATTGCCTCACTAAGTTGGTGAGGCTGGTCTTGAACTTTTGATCCTCCTGCCTCAACCTCCCAAGGCATGGGGATTACAGGTGTGCACCTCTGTACCTGTACTATTTAATTAATTTAGTTCAATTTTGTATAAGTATTCAATGGCTTACCTTTAACAACTCTTGTCAAGGATTAGGAGATCCTAATATAAAAATTAAACTCTTTTTGTATAGAGAAGTTTATATGTCACTGTGAAGCAGAGGTGGTAATTATGGATGTATGTGTAAAGATACTTACATTCCATGTACTAGAGCCTAATATGCACTAAGTTTAGTACATCCTGAACCCTGAGTCAGGGAGTTAGTGGGACAAACATTCCAGATTCTTGGACCATGAATATACCCCTTCAATACAGTTCCATCACCAACAATAAATTAGCACTCATCTATCTCCTTCCTTATTTGCTAATTAACTGCTTCCAAAGGTAAGATAATACAACCAAAGCATAAATGGATGGTCTTCAATTCAAAACTGAAAAATGCTGTAGCTCTTTTTAAAAATAAGACATATTATCATATTAAAATGTATAAATTTTCTAAATTATTAATATTTTATATTAAATTGATATAAAATGGTGGAAGAAGAAATCCTTACTTGCCTTTAAGCAAGTATTATTTTCTCAAATCTGGGTGATTCCAATAAAAAATACCATCTTGATTTAAAAAACATTACTATTGAATACACTGTGTTATAACACATTAATTTAAACTTGCGATCAGGTTGATAAAAATATAACTTTGGGTTGATAGATATTGTAAAATAAATAGTACATTATATGAGTATATGCTATAATATTGAGCTTATAAATACAATGTAAAGATAAATTTTTATAATCATAATCATCTTCTTTTATTTATATCCTGCTCCTACTGAGATGAATCTCTGGTTACATTTACATATTGAATTACAAAGTTAAAACTAATGATGGGATCAATTATGCCCCATACTGAGCTGTGCACTTTGGAATGACTTTGAGAAAACAGGAGGGTCAAAAAAAAAAAGAGAGAGAGAGAGAGAGAAAGAAAGAAAAAGCATCCACCGTACACAGTGGTTTCAAGATTTTGCTCACAGATATGCAGAGAAAGGAATGTAATAGACTATAACTTGTGTTTTTCAAAGAAATCAGTCTTCTTTGGTGTAAAACTTAAAATATATTTTTAATATAAAAGATTCTGAGAATTAGAAAATACACAGTCTGTGTCATGAAAGTTTCTTAACAGCTTATTTAAGGTAGATATATGGGGGCAAGTGTAATGTAAATCTCTTTATGATCCTGTTTATTTCCTTTGGTAATTATTTTAATGTATTTTTAATATATTTGCTGTACCTCAGTTGAAATGTAATCTGCCCTATGTTTGCTGTTGTCATGTAGAATTTGATATTACCCTCCTTTCTATTTTTCTAGCTGCATAATAAATGTGCTTCTCATCTAAAACCTGAATGTGACTGTGGACCTTTGAAGGACCATATTTTACCACCCACAACAATCTGTCCAGTGGTCCTGGTGAGTCCTTACCATTCTGCTGTAACTTGGGGATACTAGGACTAATTGGTATATTGCACCATTAAGTGCTTTGGAGCTAATTTTTATTAGTCAAGGCAGAATATCATTACTTTAGAGCAGAACACCTTTACTCAATGTATTTCCTTTTTCCTTCATGTCACAATCCACTTTGTAGTAAGGTATGCTCTGACTGAAGCTGACTCAGGTTTTATCACTTAGTCATACTGTACTTACCAGAAATTGTATAGGCAGAACACTTCTACATTTTACATATTTTATAGATCTAGCTTCCCAGAATAATGAAGTTATTCTTATGGGCAATTTTGCTGGGGATGCATGTTATATATCTGCAGTGTTGAGGTCTCTCAGACCAGAGGCTACTTAAAATGATGACACAAACCTTGAAAAAAATTAGGTGCTGCCATTAACTATGTTTTTTTTTTTAATTTATTGAACAATAATTTAACTACCTGCAAAATAATTATTTAATTTAATAAATATAGAAATGAAAAATGCATGAGAAGGGTAACTCCAAAAAGAACAATACTTGCTAAGAAGAGAAGATATTCCAAGACAACATTCATTTTCAAAATCCAAATTGTTTCTAAAATGAAAGTTATTTTACTAAACAAACTATTTTATATCCGTAATGCACTTTTTTTTTTAAAACAAGATGAAAATTTAATGGCTGGAACTTCAGTTTGCTATAATGAAAATATAACAACTAAGAAATGTTAGACAAATACTTTTGTAAAGGTCAATGTAGAAATTAATCAAATTACTCAATTTGCACCCACTTATGATTCATTTTGTAATTATCTGTAAAATACTTGTTATATTTTAAATGCCTTTATTTAACAAAACTATTAAAATCTTTTCATTTTATCAGAGTAAAAAAATAGATGAAAATAAAATAATGCCATATTGCTGAGGATAGCAATACCTAATTCTAAATTTATTTTCTTTATCTAAGATTTATTAGACAGCTTTAAGTAAATGAGATTAATTAAAAATAATGAGAGTTATATAAAATGCTATATATTTTAGGTTCACTTGATATAAGTTTTATTCTTTTTAAGTTTTATCTTAAAGAAAAAGGACCTCTAGAATTTTTACATTTTAAAAGTCTTTTTTAAAGTATAGTAATTTTGTTGGTTTAGATGCATTCTTGATCTCATATTTTTAACTCTAAAAGAAATGTCATTCTTCTATCCACTTGCCTGTGGAAGAAACCACTAAATGAAGATTCTTATGCCAGCTCTGGTTACATAAATTAAAATATGAGGTGTATTCTTTTCATTATTCTATTCCTTCTTTCTTTGAGAAAGGTGTAGAAAATGTGTTATATGAATGTGTCTTCCAAAGTATTGCACAGTCTTTTGTTGCTACTCTTACACACTTGATTCTGAAGATTTAATTTCAATCATTTTATTTTTCTATGGTTTTAATCATGAATTATATCACAACATTTTCTATTTAATCATATCTATGGTGCTCTCTATACTGATGTACTTGACAACTGTTAGCCATTGCATCCTTCACAAATGTTTACCTTTAATTGACTTCCCTGATACCACATTTGCCCAGTTCCTTTTCATTCTGTATCTTTTCTGGATTTATGATGTCAAACTGCCCATGTTGGTGCATCCCTGTGTTTATGTTAATGTCTACTCAGCTCAGCCTTCTGTTCTGAATCACATATGTACACAGCTGCAACCTCCTGTTGCCATATTGTTTTAAGTACATGCCCAAGATATTATTAATTAATGTAATGATTATAGTTCTTATTTATTTATCACATATATGATGACAAAAAACTTGAAAAAAAGTTATGCACTGCTATTAGCTGTTGCTTAAATTGTTTTATTGAACAATAAATTTAAGTACTGGCAAAATAATTACTTAATTCTATAAACATAGAAATAAAAATGCATGAAGAAAGTAATTGAAAGGAACAAACCTTGGTAGGAAGAGAAACAGGTATTCAGAGGTGATATTGATCTTAGAAATCCAAATTGTTTCTAAAGTGAAACTTATTTTGCAAAATAAACTATTTTACACCTAAAATACATTTCTCATTTAAAAAAAAAAGTCATGGAAATTTAATGTCTGCAACTTTAGTTTACTATAATAAAAATGTAACATCTAAGAATATATACCAGGCACTATGCTAAAAGTATTAACAAAGTAATTCAATAAATATTTATTCAGTGTCTAACATTGACCACACACTATTATTGGTAGGGAAAAAAACAGTAAAAAGCAAAACAGATCTTTGCTTTATAGGGTTTACATTCCCCTGTGAGGTGAAATAGACAATAAATAATACAAATAAGTGAATTATTTAGTACCTGGTTCTTTTAAATACATAGAAATCAAGGGTAAAGTGGTGGCTTCCAAGGGTTAGGGAAGGAGGAAGGGAAGAAACTGGTCAAAGAATGATAAGTTTAACTTTAGTGGGATGAAAAATTCTGGAGATCTAACATGCAGAATGAAAACCAGAGTGAATATACTGTGTTGTATACTGGAAACTTACTAAGCAATTAGATTTCAGGTGATTTTGTCACCCATACAGAAAAACTTAACTATGTGAGGAAATTGTATGTTAACTTGCTTAACTGTAGTAATCATTTTACTTTGTGTGTATGTTTTACATACATGCATATGTTTTTAGTCAAAAGAAACAGAAAGACACCTGCATATAGGCAAAATTATAATAAATGTAGTTATAAATATAATCGTCTTTTACTTGTGATTCTTTATTCAAGATCAGCCCCATTCTATAAAATAGCATGAGAGCTCTGACTGGGCAATAGTGGAACAGTGGATTGTGTAAGGTGTGGACAAGGGAACAGCAATAGAAAAACAACATCAGGTTACTTTTAAAATAAATATTAAAGCAATAGGAACTTTCTTATTATACTGAGTTGGGTAGATAGATTCTCCTATTTTTAGGAAAAAGAGCCTGTTTGGGGATTGCTTTACTTCCTTACGGTTGCAGTTTTATTGTGTGGCAGTTAGCATTAGTAATTTCATTTTGATTTTGTCTGATCTGTAGGGCCCAGTGCAAAAGGTCAACCAAAACAATGGTCAACCATGTTTTTAGTTTAATAGTATTTAAATTTTATACCTTGAATATATACAATAAAAAATGATTAATTTTCAAAGTAAAGAACATAACTGAAGCAGGTAAAGAAAAGAAATTCTGGGGTTGCAATTATGAGACAGTCAGGAAAGAGTTCTCTAAAGAGATAGTTGGAGTAAAGAGTTAAGGCATTTGGAGGAGTCACCATATGGCTCTTAGTATGGAGCTTCACAAACAGGAGCCAGCCAGGACACATACACTGAGGTAAGAGATGCCCGGCATACCTGAAGGCCAACATGAAATTCATGGCTGGACCTGAGTATGTAGGGGGAAAATTGGAGAAGAGAAGATCAAAGAGATCACAAGATTTTAATGTTAGGTAATACAGTTGAGCTATATAGTAAGATATTTGTTTTTACTCTGATTTTAAGAAGACATTAAATGTTTTTGTCCATAAAGGAAAATCATGACTTATGTTTTAAAAAGAACAGTCTAACTGCTATGATAAGAAGGCAATAATGGAATAAAAGATATAACTTGTCTATTTACTTAGAGAAATAGAAAGTTGGATACTAAGTCTGAGGAATGGGAAGACATTATCCAGCAGTGGCCCAAGAAGGTAGAAATTAAATGGATCAAAAAATATATTATGATTTCCAAGGGGAAGAGATAAGCCACCTCTATTTAACAATCATTCATTTAGAATAAAATCAGTAAGCTTAAATGAGTATATTTCTATAATCACTTTCTGTTATATTTCTCATAGCCCTGTCATAGTGAAACTGTGTTTTTCAAAACATCATGAAGGGAGAAAACCAAGAAGTTGAAAACATATGTACACTAACAATTATAAAGATTGACTATTGAATTTAAGCTGGGGAATGAAGGGAATAAGGATATGGAGAGTGAGATGCAGTAACAGATGTTAGGAACAATACATTGTAAATTGCAATAGAGTCAAAGATAAGGAGTCAAGGATAATGGTGCCCCTTTAATAGAGAAAATGCGATATGAATTGGGAGATTGCAGTTACTGATAATGAGATATATGAATTCATTTAATCCTCACAGTGACCCCATAAGGTAAATATAGTAATTGTCTCCATTTTACATAGGAAGAATCTCAGAAGGGAATAAGTGAGTTCTCTATTGTCACATGGCTGGTAAATGGCAATCCAGGTTTGGAATCCAAGTGTTATTATCATTCCTAAATTTGTTTTTCTACCCTTTCTCCTTAGGAGACCCCAGTTTTCTCAAACCAGAAACTAAATGATCACTTTTGTTCTTTATCTTAAATATCAAATTATCATCGTTTGTCATATTCTAATGTTCTTAATCTTATCTCTTTATTCATTCTAAATGTAACTGCCTCATATGCTACCTGATTTTCCTCAGGATTATCCCAGTAGTATCCTTGATGAACTACCTCTTTTTTATACAGTCCCAATTTGCTTCCTGGGTCTACTTCCTAAAATGCAAATATGATGACTCTTTCACACATAATATTTTTGCTGATTCATTATTTGAATTCCAAACTCTCTAGCATGATAAACAAGGTTCTTTAGCTGGATCAACCCACTCAATCTTTCACAAACCACCTCAAACACTGGAAATCAAGAATAAATGAACTACTTGTAATTTTTCAAGTATACCTATTCTCTCAAGCCTTTTGAGTCTTGTATGTGATAAATCAGCTTAAATCTCTACATTTTACATTATTTTTTATACCTTGCTAAGTAAGAATTAAAGGTTACTTCTATAAAAAAAACAACAAGTATTTTACTGTTATATCCATTAACTATTTAAATATTCATATTTAAAACAAATTAACCAAGATTTTGTCTACAAAATTGCTTTTCTCTATTCAAACTGATGGGCATTAAGCAACAAAAAAGGTATGTTGGAAATGCCCTCTA